TTTATTGATTGCTAGAACGATCTTGGTTGAACATGATTATTTATTAAAAGATTTGAAAACTGAAAATTGGTGGGCTTTAAGAACTTTATTTCTTCAACAACGTATACTAGATGATGTTGTTGGTTCATTGTATGATAGAATGATTCAATATTTTGATTCATTAGAGAAAATTTTTTTTAATTCTTTATCGTCGTCATCATCATCATCATCACCTAATATAACTACAGAATTAAAAATGAGATTTTATTTAGAGCATGGACTTGTTTATCATTATTATTTTAAAGATTTTTTATCTGTTGAACAATTTCAAAAAGCTCAAAATTTCAGTGGACTTGAATGGAAACTCACAGGTGCATTAGGAAAAAGAACAAAATTTCAAACATTTGATGTAACCCAGTTATTAATTGTTGCAAATAGTAGTACTGGAAACAATGATGGTGATGATATGGATGAAAAAGAAGAAAATAAAGATAAAAATAAAAAAATTCCTAATAATCTGCCACTTGATGATGATACACTTTTAGAAAAAATTGAACTTACCAAACAAAACAACAACAATAAAAATGACGAAGTTGTTGATAAATTTGATCTAAAGAATCAAAAGAATCTTAAAGTGATAGATCAATGTATTTTATTGGCCTTCTGTTTAAATGTAAAGAATATTAATCCATCTCATGGCATAACCACAGAACAGATGGTCCCATATGTAACACGAGTTCTTGAAAATCCAAACAATTGGATGGTATACACAATGGCTCTATTGCTTAGATCAAGACTGGAAAAAGAACATTCACGTACAATGGAACGATCTGTTTTACAACTTCAAGCTCTTGTGGATCAATTTCCATTACATGAACTATCAAGTGTGAAAGAACGTATATTATATTTCTATCAAATTTTAATACCATCGAAATGGGAAATGGAAAGAGAATTGGCCATACAATATTTGTCATTAGGTGTTGTACGTTCAGCTTTACAAATCTTTGAAAGATTGGAAATGTGGGAGGATGTGATAAATTGTTATATTATTCTGGAAAAAGAAGAAAAATCCAAATCAATAATACAACAACGATTACTTGTTACACCAAATTCACCCAAATTATATTGTTTATTGGGAGATATAGAGAAAAATCCAAAACATTGGGAACACGCATGGGAAGTATCAGGGAATCGATATGCAAGAGCTATGAGATCATTGGGAAGTTATTGGTATAAACAAAAAAATTTTATGAAATCAATAGAATGCTACGAAAAAGCATTAAAAATCAATCCGCTATTTGAAAATTCATGGTTCATTAAAGGATGTGCAGCAATGCATATGGAAAATTGGGAGTTGGCTATTGAGGCATTCACACGTACTATTTCTGTTAATCCCGAAAACTCTGAATCATGGAATAATCTTGCTACCATATTTCTAAAACAAAATCGAAAGTTTGAAGCCTTCAATTCATTTCAGCAAGGATTGAAATTAAATTATGATAATTGGAAAATATGGACAAATTATATGTATACATGCGTGGATATAGGTGAATTCAATGAGACAATCAGAGCAATGGAACGTATAGTTGAATTAAGATGGAGAAAAGACAGGGATAATTGTGTTGATATAGAAGTATTAGAAATAATAGTTAATGCAATCACAAAAGACATTAAAGATATAAATAAATCAGATTCAAGTAGATTAGCACCAAGGCTGGAGAAACTATTAATTGAAACAATAACATCAAAAATAACATCAAATTATGAAGTGTGGAAATTGTGTTCAAGATTTTTTTATTGGAAGAAAGATTATAAACAATCATTAGAATCAGAATTGAAAGCCTACAGGAGTGTTTTATATGATCCAAAATTAGAAAGCTCAGAACAAGTATTTCATAAAGTCTCAAAGAGTGCATTAGAGGTTGTAGAAGCGTACCAGAATCTTGGCGAGTTGAAAAGTCAAAAGAAAAAATCGATCGATGGTAAAGAAGTTATTGAGGAAGAGATGGTTTGTGAAGATTGGTTGTATCAAGCTAAAACTTTATTAAAAAGTTTAATAGGTAGAACTAAAAAATCTTTTGAAGGAACTGAAACACATGATCAATTAATTAAAACTTTAAAAGAGTTAAAATAATTGTAAATTGTAATTGCATTAATAATACACCTCTCTCTGTATCATATTATCATTATAATGTATTTTAAATATAAAAATTATACAATGATTACAATATCATTCGATGAATTATCAAAAATTTACTTCATCTTAAAAGGAATTGATATCCGATATTACTAATAAATTAATATATTAGAAATTATTTTGATTAAGTGACCTGATAATCATTCACAGAATTCCCAAACATATATCTCACTGTCTTTTATAAGAATGTTAGTGCTTTTCAAAGAATTAATCCTTTTACCATTAAAAATAAGAGATGGGAGAGACTCCCATTATATCTTTAAAATCGATGTTGGGACTGATGTTTGTGAAGTATATATAGATCTTGCAGAGGAGACGTTTGCATCTCTGGGCTTAATTGCATATTCAAACTTTAAAGAATCGCCCGATCCTTATTTAGGGTTCACCGATCGTCAATTAATTATTTGAATATAATTTCCAAATTTGGATATATAGTATGTAGAAAAATCTTAAATGACAAACAAACCTTATCGACATTTTATAATTTGTGTTTTGGGAATATTTTCTAACAGTTATTAATATCTTTTATTATTCTAATTACATCAATTATTATAAATAAGAATAATAATAATGATAATGATAGTAATAAATATAACAACAATAATGATAACACTAATAATAAAAGTGAAATAAACTTAATTAGAAGAATAATAATTAAAAGAATTCAATTAACATTTTGAGATGGTTTTATTAAACAACAAAATGTAGCTTGCATATGTATTTAAGTGCCATTACTACTATACTACTGCCTACTTAAATAATATTACGTTCTAGCAATCGAGCAAAATAAGATGCTTAAACAAATAATTGCAGCAGTGACTTTTATAATATAAATATAGGAACGAATATAGCATTAGTACTGTTGACAGTCAGAGCATCTACATTCAAATCCAAAATATCTTAATAAATAAGATTTTTTTCGGTCTTTTGGAATTTTGCTCATATCACAATAACTTAGAAATAACTCTTGATCTTTCATAATATCCATGGTTGTTTCTATTATTATCCCATAACCTAATTTGGTCTCGCTCAATCCCAATCCAAAATTTCTGACCTTTACATTGGCATTTGTGCAAGAGTGATTGAGAAGTCCTGAAACAGTAAAAATCCCTACTACTTCATTCTGAAAAGTTGGATTTAACTGAATAAGATTTGATTTGATGATACTCCAAATTGTTAAGAAAATCCAGAAATCGTATTGTAGATCATGGATTGAAATCTGTAATATTTCTAAAATATCTTGATACAATTCAAAAATCCTTTCGGGAAATTCTATTTCCTTTTGATTAATTTTATTATTAATATTAACATTTGATGAAGATATTTGTCGGTTGAATCTTGAGAGATACTTGATTTCTTGAATATCCAAAGGACACACATCTCTAGTTTTTGCAATACTGAATAATTTTAGCATTAATAATATTTCAAAATAGACAATATTATTGATTACGCCAATTTGTAATAGGTTATATAATTTATTGTTAAATGAATAGTATAAAATATTACCACATAATGGTGAATGATTCAGTTGTAATGCTAAATTGTTGCAACTTTTTGTGCAGAAAATATCAGAACATGATGAATTTTCACATGTAATCTTGGAACTGTGATTTAAAGGTACGTGACAATAATCACATTTCAATGAGCTGGACTCGTGAACACTCACAAATGCAATTTCTTGGAAAATGATTTCTCCCTTCAAAATATTCCTTTTTGCAACAATTGCTAATTGTTGATATTTTATATTTTCAGAAATTTCAATATCACGTTCATAATTGATTGATGACAATGTAATATGATCAACATTTCTCAACTCATCAGCAATATAATTATGGTATTGTAATTCATTATTATTAGAAATAGGTTTGTCCCAGGGATAGCTTCCGTTGAATTTAAAAGATACATTAACCATGAATGTTTTTATGAAACTTTCATTTAGTGTTGGATATTTTGTTTTCATCAATTCAACCTTATAATCTAATTCCTTTTGATAAGTTTTTTTTTGTTCTTGAAAATACTCCAAGTTGATTTCATTTTCTAACTTTGTTAATTTAGCATTAATCGGAGATCCAGTATTAAAATCTTCATCCATCATTATTTTCTCCTTGTAATTTTCAATTGTCTCGTCGAACGTCCGAATTGCCTTCTCATACATTTCAGTTCCTTTCTCATAACTTCCAACATCCCCCATCGATTTACCAATCAAATCTAAACATTTAATAATAAAGTTTTTGATAGTCAACAATTCAAATTCATCGTTACTCTTGTTTACTTCATCTTCTAATAATTTCAATGATCTTATTGCATCCATTATTGCTAATTCCCGGCATCCTTTCAAATAATCAATTACTGATCTA